CTTCCGTTAGTGCCTCACTTTTGTTCACGCAACCGCGATAGAAAGAGGAAAACTGATCAGCTTTCAGATACCTGGACATTGACTTGAAATACTACGACTTGGTGGGTCGACATCCGCATCACAGTGCTCCCAATTGGGAAAACACCACTGACAATTGTGGATGGAAATAGGGCTTGGAGTACCGCGATCAAACAGATGACAAGGTCACCGTTGACGCTGCTGAAGCCATCAAGAAGTATGGCGTTGGTGTCAAGTGCGCCACCATCACCCCTGACGAACAACGTGTCGAGGAGTTCAAGTTGAAGAAGAGTATGTTGTGCCATCTTGCAGCAACATTCCCGCTCGACTGATTTCTGACCCTGTACAGTGTGGCTCTCCCCCAATGGAACCATTAGAAACATCCTGTAGGTTTTCAGCCTTTTCGTCCGACGAAGCGTACCAGGCCGCTAACATTCAGTAGGGGCGGCACTGTTTTCCGCGAGCCCATTGTCATCCCCCGCATCCCTCGGCTTGTCCCTGGCTGGAAGAAGCCAATCATCATCGGCAGACATGCTTTCGGCGACCAGTACCGTGCGACCGACCGTCTGATCCCTGGCCCCGGAAAGATGGAGCTGGTATACACCCCCACAAACGGCGAGCCTGAGCGCATCACCGTCTACGACTTCCAGGGAGCTGGTATTGCTCAGGTCCAATACAACACCGACGACTCCATCCGAGGATTCGCCCACGCCAGCTTCAAATTGGCCCTTCTGAAGGGTCTGCCCATGTACATGAGCACCAAGAACACCATCTTGAAGAAGTACGATGGCCGATTCAAGGATATCTTCCAGGAGATCTACGAAGCCGAGTATAAGAAGGATTTCGACGCCAAAGGTATCTGGTATGAGCACCGTTTGATCGACGACATGGTTGCACAGATGATCAAGGGTGACGGAGGCTGCGTCATTGCCATGAAGAGTGCGTATATCTGTCTTGATTGCCGGCAGGTCAAATCACTAACGCGATTCTAGACTACGATGGCGACGTCCAATCCGACATTGTCGCCCAAGGTTTCGGTTCCCTTGGCTTGATGACTTCCACTCTCACCACTCCCGACGGCTCTGCTTTCGAATCCGAAGCCGCCCACGGTACCGTCACCCGCCATTACCGCGAACACCAGAAGGGCCGCGAGACCTCCACCAACCCCATCGCTTCCATCTTCGCCTGGACCCGTGGTCTTATCCGCCGTGGCCAGCTCGACGACACTGCCGACGTCGTCACCTTCGCCGAACAGCTCGAGCGCGCCTGTATTGAGGTAGTCGATGAGGAGGGCATCATGACCAAGGACTTGGCCTTGTCCTGCGGCAAGAAGGAGAGAGAAGCCTGGGTCACTACCCGCGAGTATCTCGATGCTGTTGAGCGACGACTTCGTAGCAACTTGGCGAATGCCAAGCTCTAAATCAACATCGTCACAGTTGTGTTACCCGGCCCTTCTCACAGAGCCAAAAAAAACTGGCAAGAAAGGGGAAACCTTTGGTGAGGAGGAAGCTAACTATCTCACTTGACCCTCGGGACGGACCCTCGCAGCCCGAGCCAAACCCCCTTCCCACCGTCTCAGGCGAGGCTCGAACAACACGGCGGGGTTTGGAAACAGTTGGACAAAACATTCCCGCACAAACTTGCAGCGCGCATAAACTAGATGACTACATAGATCTGCATTTGGTCTTGTCAGATGCCAAAGAGCGGACTTGGACAAGGAGGCACTCCTGCTTCTTCCCTTTTTTTCTTCTCCGAGCCCCGTTTTCTTATCACGATTAGAATGCTCTCATGATGTTGATTTTTTGGACGTGTGTATGTAAACCATTTTCAGCTAGCTTGTGTCTAATTTGCATTTTCCTTATATATATATTTGAAGAGAAATATGAATTCGTCCCAATATATGGTATGAATTGACTATCGTCTTACGTGAAACACGTTCTCCAGGAAAGCCTTTTTTTTTTGGTATTAGCTATTCCAGCCATTCCTCGCACTTTACAGTCTTGGTTTCATTTCGATATCCCTCCCCACCAAAACAGAACACAAAAAGCAGCCAGTCTAATAGTCGTAGTGTCGATGCAGTGCCCGTTCGGGATCGTCAAATATTTCAAATCGCTAACAAGCAATAAATCGGCGCCACGCAAAAATCATCACGCAAGACATAAAATCAGAAAAAGGAAAAAAAAAAAAAAGAGTTTCCCGGCGAAGAGAGAAGCATCAGAAAAGCTTTTTTTTACTTCTTCTTCGCCGGAAACTTTTCTTTCCCGATATCCGCGCCTCGCAGCTTGACATTGAGCACGCGCTCCATGGTCGACAGCACCTTTTGATCCGGCGGCGCCGTGCCGCGCTCAAAGTCCTGCACCACGCTCACGGTCGTGTTGCACTTGGTGGCCAGCTCCTTTTGGGACATCTTGTACTTGTCCTCGTTGCGGCGGCGCTTGATGGCCTCGCCGACCTCGAGGCCGACGGTTTTGGGCTTGATGATGTCGTCGGAGCGGTCGACTTTGGTGAGGTGTTGGCCTTCGACGCCGGGGCGGGAGGACTTGAGAGAAAGGGGGTGGGGTTAGTTAAGAAGGTTCTTCTTTCGCGTTGCTTGGGAGACTTACGATGTTGCCGGTGGTGAATTTCTTTTCTGTGCCGATGATGGATCCTGATCTGGCGGCTGCGTTGAGGGCGGAACGGCCCTTGACGACGGTTTCGCGGGGAGCAGCTCCGCCGCGGTGCTTGCTGCCGATGACGGTGGTGGAATCCCAGTCAGACATTTTGAATGAGGTATGTAACTTCTTTTTTTTTCGTGCTAGTGAATGACACGAGGTGAAAGGTATTCGCAAAGAACGGGGGTGTTATCCCAAGCAACGACAGTGGAAAAAGAGAGATGCTGTATGGGTTGAATGTGATGAGTCGACGTTATCTGTTTTATATCGTCGTTGGCTGGGATGACGGGGGCGGCAAAAAGAAGTTTCGAGAGAATGTCACACGCTAGTCCCGATCTGGTATGATGCGGCTGTAAAACTCTAAAGCGCCCCAGTCCCGATTGGGTCACCGCCACAGAAAGATTATGTAATACGGAGCTTGTCATCAGATGAAAAAGAGGATGGGCAACTTCATTCTCATCATTAGGATATTCAAAGTAAAGCAGTAATATGTAAGGGCCTCCATAGCTGCTGCTGGTGATACAACTTCACAACAGTCTTAGCAGCATGTCATTTCCAGCGGCAGCTCTTCAAAATGGGGGATTTCAGGCGATGAAGTGTTTGGCATTTGCGGTTATAATTCAACACATTACCAATGTCACAGCCATGAAGACATTGTCAAGTTTGGTCGACATTGTTAGAAATGCATTCAAAGGACATCACTCGATACTTTCAAAATGACAAGACGGAGAGAACAATGGGCAAAAGTCGAGTTCCGATTATTTGTACCCATTTCGCAATGGAAAGCGGCAGATTGTACGGAGTATAGATAGTTTATTGTACTAGGTTGTTGTCGCCGCAAGGGTATTGTGGGATCGAGTGTGTGGTTAGTCCTGACTTCTCAGATCAACGCTCATTATCAAAATCCCTCGATAATATATATTGATTTTTTTTAACCTCGTGTTGTAACCGCGAATGCTCTTGTCAAGCCAGGGGTATAATAGCGATATCGCCACACAAAAAGCTGCTCTAAGTAGGAAGGCGACACAGGGTTAATTGATGAAGGCAACGAGTTCATCAAGAATAGACTTCATATGGTTCAGTCTAGTATGTTGTTTTAATATCTGCTCCCAATCTTGTGTAGTCAGTCGCGTAGAGGGCAAGAAAATGGCTCTGGGGATCGGGACAAGGATGCCCCTGAAGATATTCAGGATAAGCAGAGTGCAGCCAATGGCTGATCTCCCTGCAAAAGCCGGTTGATGTTCCATCTGTTCTTCCAGCTCAATGTCTTCTGTACCGTGGGATATTTCAGACTTCTTCGGAGCCGCCAGTTCAGATTGCTTTTGGAGCCGCCCCGACTTGATCCGCATGCAGCTGGAGTTGGCTCTGTATCTGAAACATCCCTTTTTATGTGATCTTCTTCGGGGTTTCAGAGAAAGCGGTTTGCCCAACCTTGACCGGCCACCCGAACAAACGATTGTCTAAAGTAGAGTCGCTCAGCTGGCAAAGGCACAAACAGGAAGAGAAGGGGATCTGGACGTGGAACTGGTGGGTTCTCTCAGCAGCCAATCTGGCGATCGTGGCACAGTTTTTCCTCCATTTTCCAGCCCGACAGCATCCGGATCTCCATAATCCATGAGACTAGCGCCAGTTGTTATGCAATTCTTGTTCACAAACTGATGTGCTCCATCCTCCTCCTTGGTTTCTCATCGACTGTCGCTCGCTCTTTTCAATCTTGCCGCTTCATCATCAGCTTCTTCATCAAATCTCAGTTCATCGCCAAACAAAAGCCGACGCGGTTGCCCAGTCCTTTCGGCCGCACGTGAGCCGAGCCCATACCTAGTTCCTCATCCACCATCGCCAGACAGTCAACATCGTTTCTTTTCCCATCACCTTTCTCATCTCCCTTGTACTTCTCTTCTCCTTGCTTTCTTTCAAATCCTCCTACCTTTTGCCGGTTTGACCCCAGAGGCAACCGTCGATCGTTGGTGATAAGGCCGCCACGCCGCGTCTATATTGTCACAGCCATCATGGTTCCAAACGAGCTTTCCACCGCCATGACAAACCGGTCTTTACGAACCATCAAAACCGTATGTAGAGGACGCATCTTGGGAGGATTCATGATCCTTGTGGCCGGCTCCTGCTAACCGCTTACTCACTCAGGAATTGGAATTCCTTTGCGACTCATCCGTCATCACACCCGGTCAACTGACTTCGATCCTTTCACAACTTCCAAGTCAAACCCAGTTACATGCTCCGTTATCGCAGTCAAAGGCTGACACGGCCTTCTCGCCTCCCACGACTCAACTAGATCACATGGGTTTGAATGAGAAGACGATGGAACAGAACCCTTACTCGGCGATCGCCCCTCCGCCCTCTTATGCCGCTACTCCGCCAATCTTGTGCATGGCATCAGCACTCTACGCATATTCTCCCACGGACGGAGGTGATCTAGCCTTGCAAGCGGGCGATCGTATTCAAGTCCTCGAGCACATGAACAATGACTGTATGTTCCCATCAATTCTTACCCCGCCCGCCACTCTATAAACTCAACCAAGCTTGAATACTAACAATATGGCTCAGGGTGGCGTGGTAGGAATGAGCGCACAAACCTAGAAGGCATTTTCCCAAGAACCTACGTTAGTATCATCGATGAGAAACCGGCCATCCTGTCACCACAACCGACCAGCTACGGAAATATGCCTCTTGAAGTTGCACACTCTGGCTCCAGCAGTCAATCGGGAAGGAAACCGAGCAAGTTTGAAGAAAATGGCAAGAAATTCGGCAAGAAGATGGGTAATGCTGGTATGTTTTGCTCCTAATCTTCTGTTCCTACAGCTTAGCTAACTCGCTCGACTTAGCTATCTTCGGTGCTGGCGCGACGATTGGATCGAATATCGTCAACGGAATTTTCTAATCGCCGATTACCCTTTCGAGCGCTCAATCTCTTTAATTCGCGGTTCTTTGGCTTTTCGTATAGGCTAATTGGTTAAATGGGATGGGAATATGACTTTGTTCCCTACGTTAACGGAGCGGCGTTTTCTGGCGTTGGTGAGATCGAAACACATTAATTGGCTGGTTTTCAAAATAACGGAATGGAAGTTACACTCCCAGTCAGAAAATACGGCTGTGACGCGGGAGTATTTTCGAATCCTTTACGTTGTCTCCGAGTTGACTATATCCGACCACGCTTTTATATCAACCCGAAAACGAGATTCGAACGACCAGACGGACGGGACGGGGTTGCATTGACCTTTTCACATTTGGCTGTGATGGGCCTCCCCCACTGGCGACGTCTGCTTTTCACTCAACTTCCCCTCGAAGTGGTTACTCCTGACAATCAGCCGGACTGAATATACTGCGCTAGCTTAGATTTCCTATGTTCCCCTATGATGGCCGGTTTTTCGTGGCCCCTTGCCGTCACCCTTTGGCCACGTTGTTCATGTTTCACTATCCTTCGACTTTTGGTCACTTCTTTCCCGTTCCCTTTTTTTTTTTTTTTTGGCTCCCCCTCGACATTCTTTGAGTGAGATACCCTCGAATGTCCATACATCTCTTCCTTTTCGTTCCTTTTTCCCTATTTACTTTCGCCTTGGCTGCTGCCTTATGTTTGATAGAGGAGAATTTATTACTGCTCATTCCACGACACCGTGATCTAATACCGTTCAGTCATCATGCAACCCTTGTCAGTGAGCAACAAGCAGATATGACACCCTTTGTGGGATGCAACCGCAGAGGACAGATAGCACTTCCTAGTCGCCGCGGAGAAGCAGCACAGCCTCAAGTCCCTTTGCATAAATCCCCCTTGCACAGAATTATGCCGTTGGTCAGCGATTAGTTATGTAACTAATTTTATGCTTGACTAACTCGTTAAGTATGCAAACATAACAAACAATTTCTTTTTGGAAATACCCTCGAGGCTACTCAATACGGAAGTGCGGATATCATATCATTGTACGGAGAATATGCTCTGTATTTCTTAGTAGATCATATTAACTTCGTTCAAGAAGAATGTGCTCGACCTGCTCTCTGGTGAGCCAGCCGTTTGATTCTCTCGCGCCCGAACAGTTCCCAAGGCAAGCTAATCTCTGCCCAGTTTTATGCAGAGCTTGCTGACTGTATAGACTTTGTTTTGTCTTGCATCGGTCATATTGGGGGGCTCACCGCGATGCTGCATTTTGACGCTTTTTGGCTTGAGATATCGCCAGTAGCGTGGTAGGACATTTTGTTCACTGATATGTGAGCTGATACCTCGGGACCGCAGGTACGTTTTTCGTTTATACTGGCCCCGCGAGTACGGACTCGCCTAGGCAAGAATGTATGTTGGACCTAAATCCACCCGTCGTGGCAGATGTATTTGATTTCCCACTAGAGTATCACGACTTCAACAATCGAGTAGATACCGAACTCAAATTATTCGTGGATTCGTGGAGCATTCCCACCCCTATAGCCGACGTAAGTTGCCAATGCGCGTGATAACCCGTCAAGCAATCCTTACTTGATAGTGGAGCTGTGGAAATACCCGCCATCACAGGCCGATTTTCATCCTGAGATTGCAGTTGAGGTGCATGCGCCTGACCAGCCTGGGACCAGGGATTAGTGCATATCACAACAAGCAACCAGTATATTGTGAAAAAAAAACCCTACACCATAACCATTCAAAGTCTCCTTCAACCGCTCTCCCTCACTCTTTATCAGCTCCAGCTTCGCCTCGAACCGTCTGCACTTCTTATTCAACCACAGGTACGGAAACCGCAGACTCTGAATCGTCAGCCTCTTGGCAACCGCGCACGACTGCCGGAACCCGATCGAATATAGCCAGTATCCCAACCATGCACAGAGATCGAGGATTCTTCGCGCCTGCAGCTCGATATCCTGGTATCCAAGCCCGCGGCGAATATACGGCTCGATAGAGACCATATAGCTCGTCCAGTCGACGATTGCGAATCCGAAATCCGACCTGGCAATCCGCCGGTCGCCCACGGCGTTGTAGATCGCGGCGATGGCGGCTGGTAAGGAGAGGAATGATTGTATCGCAGCGTCGACGGCAGTGGCTGCCATCGAGGTGTTTCAGGCACGAGCGTAGGTAGCAGCGGCCGGTTTAATGCGGTGTTATTGACGACCGCCCGGGCACGATATCAGGGTGGAAAACACTTCAGCCGCCCCCATACCCGGCAATTAGCGTTGTTGTGATATCATCAGATCCTGGCTGTTTGCGTCTGCTTTGAAAGCCCGGAGCACGGCTTCATGCCGGTTGGCCAATCAGGTGGCATTTAGGGTTACTCAACATTGTTTTGCAGCCACGTCCGAAGTCATGCTTTGTATCAAGGTGAACTAGTGGATGAGTGACGAACATAATTCGCCTTGTCATTGTTGGCGGTATTTCTGTGCGTTGGCATCGAGTTCCTCTGCATAGAGAAGCTCGCCAATCCTGATTAATGGCTGTTCCCTATTTCAAGCGCTGTTTGTTTAGCCGCGATCAGCTCAGGTCTTTCCAACGGGAAGTAAAATAGCTAGATGTTTGTCAGAAATATTGTCAGAGCTAAAATATCGCTGCAGGGTTAAAAGCCTCGATATATTGGGTAATTGAAGCGGGCAATGGAATAAGATTCTCCGCGCTTGCAAAATATCAGTCAACGTTGCTGTCTCCCTATGCTTCATGAACCATCTAATAGTCACAAGCCTGGTTAAACCAGCATAATTCAGCTCTAATTTTGAAAAACTAAAGGCGCGCGTTCTGGGATCGTCTGATTCTGACGCGTCCCCTAGGGGCAAACATCTTTTGCAAACCGATCCACAAGTTGGAATAATTCATCTGGCTTCTCCAACAATGGCCAATGACCGCACTCCAGCTCCTCTACCCGTGGGTTTTTTGCCCACTGCCTAATTTTACTTACCTGAGTTTCCTCCCGCCAGGCACAGTCCTTTGTAGATAAAACAAATAGGTTCGGAAGGGTCAAATGTTTCTTTTGTTCAGGGATAAGCGCTTCATCCGCGGCGTTTATACCACGCATCGCAGCTTTATACCTGTGTGCGTTGGTTGGTGTAACATTCTCATCAAAGCCGTTTTTAGATATCAAGCTTACCAGTTGAGTGGTGCACTATATCCGCCATCGGCGAAGATGTTTTTTCGAACAGCGTATTCAGATGGAGTTATGTAGTCTGGTAACAAGGTAGTTCTCCCCGTTGTAATCCATGCCCTCGCAGCTCCTATGGGACAAAAGTCGGTCCTCCAGAGGTCTGAGTTGGCCGGGTACACTAGGTTGAATGTCGAGAGAGGCTGTGAGGAAACCGAGTTAGAATTGAATTCCATTAAACCACAGGGTGTTGATCGGAATTTTCTACATTCTGATCGCAAATTTCGGCCGCCTCTTCGGTGTTGAACCAATTCATATATCCGACTGTTGGATAGCCAAATAACTTTTCACTTATGCGATTAGATTCGTCTATTACTAGTCAGCCCGTCAGCCCGTCAGCCCAAAGGTGTTTGATATCCAACAACACCATAACCTGACCTATATCAAAAGCACCAGGCGGCGAATATGCCACAGTAATGGTGACCACTCCGAAAAATTTTCCAGGGTGGTAGATCGCCAGCATAGATAGTAATCCAGAACCCCTAATAATGATAGGCCAGGTTTAGCGATATCCAGGAATACCTACGAAATTAGGTTTCACTGAGCACCTACCAATCATGAGCTACACCGACACATTTATCCAGACCTTCTTCATCAAGAATTTCCACAATGTGCCGACACATTCTTTTCATCGCATAATCCTCTAGCTCCACAGGTTTGTCACTATCTCCGTAGCCAAGTAGGTCCGGCGCAATAATGCCATAACCGGCCTTCTTGAGCCGCACGATTATATGCCTCCAGTCCCAGCTGGAACTGGGAAATCCATGAAGAAGCAAAACAGTCGGTTTTCCCTGGTACGCTGGCGGAATAGATACGTATGCATAGCTAGTTTCGTCAGAAACATAGATTCGTTTTGATACGTCTGGAAAGGTTTTCAAAGCCATTTTTTCCAGATCCTAGACTTCTGGAGGGAGTAAATATAGAAGGAAATAGTTATAAAGTAGACCAAATGGACTGCCCAGGAAAGGGGCAGATTTATGTAAAGGGCTCTGGGTCAAGCTGGAAAGCGGCGTCCCGTCACAAGCGGGTGAAGGCTTCTTCTTAAATCATGTTTGAGACAACCATGATTGCCAAGTAAATAACCTCGAATCAAGGATGCTATCGGCGTTTGCAAGGGCCGAGATGCGCGAATTTCACACTTCCGCATTCCTGTATTAGTTAAATTCGCTGAACGCTTTGTAACCAGGCCGAACAGCAGGGAGTGGTGATACAGAAAAAGGGATCAGCCATTTACTAGAGGATTCTCCGCCTAGCTTGACATTAATCCCTAACCAACAGATGTTGACCGTAAAAGTGCTGATGCCGAGGCCGGGCTCACCTAATTCTAGGTCTGCATATTTTCTTTAGAAAAAGAGTGAACCATCCTCGTTGTAGGATAGCACACCAACCCGGCATACATTTGACTGCACTGTAGTAGGAATAACATGAGAGTAGGACAAGAAGGAGCAGCCGCTATCAACCAATCAATAATCAAGGAAGGCAAAATAAGGAGCGCGGTAAGGATATCCAGGAGCCTCGCAAAAACAAGGAGGTTCGTAATTGAGGAGCAGTACTTCATTAGCAACACCAGAACCTGGATTAGGCGGACTTTATTGACATGAAATGTGTCGGAGAAACCAGATTTCCATTTCTGAGGGAATAGGTGTGGACGGGGGAGTTCCAACCAGAGGCTCAATACTCATCCGGTAAGTTGCGATGTGGCAGAAATGAGCTCGGGAAGATAATGCAATCGGTTACACGTAACACAATCAAGGTCATTTTGAGCGCATTATTGGCTCCGGTTTTTCCTGTCTTCCATAGAACCTCGGTGAGTTGACCATTCAAACAGTGAGATTTATACTTAGGGACCAGGCTGAAAGAGCCTGCGTGCTTGTTACGTAGAATAATCAACATTGGATAATCGAAATCGTCCTGAAGTAACACTTGAAAAGTAATGGCGAGTTTTCCCGGTGACAACTTGGCACTCTCTTTGTACCCTTTCAAACCCCAACGTAAACGAGGGCTCATTTAGGTCTAATCATCGCCATCGAGCCAATTATACTTTTAGAATAGTGTCCGGAAATCGCATGGTGCCACAAGGGAAATCGTCGTGATGGAGACCCAGCTATGACTAGATATGGGTCTCTAGCCAGCGGAGGTAATGATGCCAGCCATCAAGCCAAGGGCGGCCGAAACGAAGGCACCGAGATCTTCATGTTAGTTGGCTCGATTTTATCAGCATACTGGTATCCAGTCATAAAAGCAGCATGGCAATGTTGGATGATCTTCGGATGTTTTCCATTCGGGCGGGGACTTGTAGTAAGGCCTAGGTGCATGTATTGCTTCCCAGAATCCTGCCTCCAGGCCCAGCGCCAACATCATTGACCAAAAACTGGTGGTGATACCTGCCATGCCGCCCCAAAGACTTTCTCATCGTCCCAAGTACGACTGAAGAAGCTTCTGGGCTAGGATGCCGCAGATATAAGTGCTATGGCGCGTCCAGCATTTATCACGGCACCCAAAATGCCCATAGTCGCCATTTGTCTAGCCTATGAGATACCGCTGATCGAAGCACAGTCACTAACCTAAGACCGTTGTCAGGCACCAACGAAAGCTAGCCAGCTCCGCCTTTACTCACCCTACTTTTGATGCACCAGGCTTCTTGCATCCGAGTATGAAAATTTTCATACTAAAACCATTACTCTGTAGACTTTGGACTAATGAGTGGTTGTCGATATTTTCCGAGTTGACCCTGTAATAATATAACACACGGCATCCAGGTCGCTTTTGGTAAAGGCTTCCTTAGGTTGTTATTTCACTGTCGCACACAGTTAGCCGATGGTCTAGCCCGTTTCCAAGTTTGAGTTGGTAGCTCACTGACCATCTTATTACCGTTCATCAAAAGTAACACAAGCACATGCATAAAGGTTAAACAAGGAAAATAGCAGATAATCCTACTTAGTAATGTTGTTAGGGAGCTCATGTGTTTGTGCGAATGCGTGGTTAATGATGGCCACTGGCGACTGCCATAGATGTCCACTAAAACCACCGGCGTTATGTCACTGAGCCCGTGCTGTACAACACATGCCTTTGCAAATTACCGATTAGAGATAGAAGCATGCTCTTTCAGGGTTCGAAAGGATAGAGGCGCATAGACAGCGGAACAGGGAGCGGCATACGCCGTCTTTCATTGATAAGCAGACAGGAAACACCTCTTAAGGGCGGACATTGCAGATAGGCCTGCATCCTGGTCGATAGGGGTATTGGCAAAACTGCCCTCTTTCCTCAGCCTCCAACCATCACAAGAATGAAGCAGCAATCGGTCTGCAGGAAGAATCCTCATACGCAGTGATACTAGCACTGACACAAGCTTGCACTCATGAGCCACAGTCCAGTTAAAGTCATAGGCAACGGTATCGGGGTAGCCTGACTACCGCTCATGGGCAGATTGCCCCCTCTTGACCCTTGAACTGATGGCAGGTCGTCGTAATTACTCTTTTTGGTTGGCGCCAGGCCAAATGAATATCGAGTCTTATTGGTTCAATTGTAGAGTGTTTATTGGCCAATTGGAAATAAGCGCAGCAAATTCAGCTGAGTTTCGGCGAATCAAAACTCAATGTTTCAGGGCCAAAACCGGGTTCCTTCCTCTTTCAGCTACTCCAACGAACCCGGCGCTTAATAACACAGCGTCCTTTCTAAGCGCCAACGGGTTCCTCAATGCGGTTGACTGTCTGCAGGCCACTTGCGGGCTTGACCATGGCCTCGCAGAGCCTAGGTGCATCACGAAACTCAACGGCGATGGCACGCCTTTTGAGTTTCGACTGCGCCTCCACT